CTTAAAGAAATGGGAGTGCCTGATCACCTCATCTGTCTCCTGAGAAATCTCTACGTGGGACAAGAAGCTACAGTTAGAACTGGATATGGAACAACTGATTGGTTCAAAATTGGGAAAGGAGTACGACAAGGCTGTACATTCTCTCCCTGTTTATTTAACTTATATGCAGAATTCATCATGCGAAAGGCTGGGCTGGATGAATCCCAAACCAGAATTAAAATTGCCAGAAGAAATATCAACAACCTCAGATATGCAGATGATACAACCTTGATGGCAGAAAGTGAGGAGGAATTAAAGAACCTTTTAATGCGGGTGAAAGAGGAGAATGCAAAATATGGTCTGAAGCTCAACATCAAAAAAACGAAGATCATGGCCACTGGGCCCATCACCTTCTGGCAAATAGAAAGGGAAGAAATGGAGGCAGTGAGAGATTTTACTTTCTTGGGCTCCATGATCACTGCAGATGGTGACAGCAGTCATGAAATTAAAACGCCTGCTTCTTGGGAGAAAAGCAATGACAAATCTAGACAGCATCTTAAAAAGCAGAGACATCACCTTGCCGACAAAGGTCCATAAAGTTAAAGCTATGGTTTTCCCAGTAGTGATGTATGGAAGTGGGAGCAGGACCATAAAGAAGGCTGGTCGCCAAAGAATTGATGCTTTTGACTTATGGTGCTGGAGGAGACTCTTGAAGAGTCCCATGGACTTCAAGAAGATCAAACCTATCCATTCTTAAGGAAATCAGTCCCAAGTGCTCACTGGAAGGACAGATCCTGAAGCTGAGGCTCCAATATTTGGCCACCTCATGAGAAGAGAAGACTCCCTGGAAAAGACCCTGATGTTGGGAAAGACTGAGGGCACAAGGAGAAGGAGACGACAGAGGATGAGATGGTTGGACAGTGTTCTCGAAGCTACGAACATGAGTTTGACCAAGCTGCGGGAGCCTGGCGTGTTCTGGTCCATGGGGTCACAAAGAGTCAGACACGACTAAACAACAACAAATATGTTGATGGAGGGGGGGGATACAGATTTAAGGAATCTGGTTTCCTGGGATCAGTAATGGTTTGGTTATGGTCTAACAAACAGACTCAATGCAGACAAAATGAGGCTGGTATTGGGCCACTGGGCCCATCACCTCCTGGCAAATAGAAGGGGAAGAAATGGAGGCAGTGAGATTTTACTTTTTTGGGCTCCATGATCACTGCAGATGGTGACAGCAGTCATGAAATTAAAAGACGCCTGCTCCTTGGGAGAAAGGCGATGGCAAACCTAGACAGCATTTTAAAAAACAGAGACATCACCTTGCCAACAAAGGCCGCATAGTTAAAGCCATGGTTTTCTCAGTAGTGATGTATGGAAGTGAGAGGAGGAGGAGACTCTTGAGAGTCCCATGGACTGCAAGAAGATCAAACGCATCCATTCTTAAGGAAATTAGCCCTGAGTGCTCACTGGAAGGACAGATCGTGAAGCTGAGGCTCCAATACTTTGGCCACTTCATGAGAAGAGAAGACTCCCTGGAAAAGACCCTGATGATGGGAAAGATTGAGGGCACAAGGAGAAGGGGACGACAGAGGACGAGATGGTTGGACAGTGTTCTCAAAGCTACAAACATGAGTCTGACCAAACTGCGGGAGACCGTGGAAGACAGAAGTGCCTGGCGTGCTCTGGTCCTTGGGGTCACAAAGAGCTGGACACGACTAAACGACTAAACAACAACAACATTGGCCAATAGGAAAGCTGTTGGTGATGCTACTCCATCCAAAATCAGGTTGTGTTTGTGAGGGTGCTCTTCTTGGATTTAGGGTTGTTCTGACATGGGTAGGCAATGGCTGTGGCCAGGATCACCTTTGCATGCTTCAGCTGATGCACCAGTTATTCCCCTTTCTGGAAATGGCAGAGCTGGTAAAATAAATATGGACAAGTGGGTTTCTTGTGCTTTATTCCATTCAGTAGTTTGAAATAGTGAGGAGGGAAAACCAGCTATTAAAGGCAGAAAAAATCAGGGGGAAAGCTGAATTCATGCAGCCAAAATACATAAGAACTGTTGCCCAAAATATGAAGGAAAATAAAGAAAATGATTCTTTAAATAAACATGATTTTTAAAAAAATCAATTTTAGTAACCATTGAAGAAAAATGGCTTAAGGGAAGTGAGAATTTAAACATGAGCTAGTACTATTCATAATAAACTGTTATGATATCAAATATTGATTGAAAAGGCAGGGGACTAAAATAAGCCTTAAACTATTTACAGTTTGAGAAGCAAGTTGACAGGCACGCATTGTGTTGCACCTATCTCTGATAAGCACACCTTTCCCACTTAGCAACAGATGATTATGTTGTCATGCCAATACAATCTATCATCTTAACCTGCTCTCATCTGCACCTCTCCGCTTATCTTGGATAATCACAAATAGTCAGTGCAAACCTGTGATTTATTTCATTGGGGAAAGCAGTCCATCATTGGGTTCCCTTATGAGAAGGTAGAGGAAAACAGAATGAAAAGTGTCAGAGTTCTCTGGAGTTGTTAGGACAAGGGAGAAGACCGTTGCATGTTGGTTGGATATGAACTCTGTGACTTAACAGTAGCAAATCTAGAGGTTTCTAATGCAAATTGCGTTCCATATCATGCATACAATGACATGTGTAACGTACATGCTTCTAGTGAGATGTTCTGGAAGCATGCTAAGATTCAACACATTACTAAAAAAGTGTTCATAGGAAAATCAATTGGACCTACACCAAAGAAGATGTATGTTATGTTAAGTACTGAGCTGCAAATGGTGACCACCAGTGAGGTATGTTTATATGTGGGAGGAATTTCAGAAAATGGTAAAAGCAACTAAGAGACTAACAAATTTATTATGCAAAAGATTTTGTTGGGCTACAGCCCACTTCACTGGATGCATAAAAGGGCAATCTTCATTTGCAGGTATATAGACAGTAGGGGCAGCTGAGGTGATGGCCTGTGGAATTTCAAACTGTGACGTCAAAGGGAAATGAAATGCAAAACTTACAGACAATGGCAATGCAATTGCAGCCAAAATGCATGCAAAATATATACAGTACAGTAACCCTTTAAAACAGCATATATAGGTGATAAAGCAATCAATTTGGCTGAGTTAACACTGTGCCTATTTTGCAGGTGGCAAGGTTGCCTTACCTGTGAGGGGAAACGTGCATCAAGGTACAGTCATAAGTCGTTACTACTTTGATAGCCTCAGGCTGTGAAGCTGTTTATAAATTTGTAAAATAAATTAGTAAGAGTCCCTTGCATTTCAGTGCATTTCAGAGGGATTGTAACTCTATGTGCTTTTAGTATGCAAGCCCAGAATTAGGATATTTTAAAGTCCAGGCCTATAAGTGTTTACGCAGAAGTTACTCTCGTTAAAATCAAGAGAGTTTATTCCCAGGAAATGTGCTGAGCGTTAGAAGCAAAAGGAGGGAGGCTATGTGCATCTTTGAACGGTGTCTGTGTGAAGAGCATTACTCACAAAACCATTGCATAATTGCTAAAATGAAGAGGGGTGGAATTTAGACCTGTCTGAAAAATCAGGCTCTCTTAATTTTGGAGCTCGTTGTCTCCCAATGTTGTCCACTGAACCTTCGATACAGCCCTGTGGTGTACTGGTTAAGAGTGTTGGACAAAGACAGAGTCCTATTCCCCAATCATCCAGGAAGCTCACTGGGTGACCTTGGGCCGATTGCTGCCTCTCAGTTTAAACTACCTCACAGGATTGAGGTACATGGGGAGAGGGAGAACAGCATTTTACATGAAAGAAAAGAAAAGAAGTTATGGGGTTAAACTCTGATGGTCCCTGCGGGATTGCCACAGTGATCTTAGTAAACCTAGATTAATTGCATGTTCTCCTGTTATGTATGTTATTTATTATTACGTTTAAATAATGCCTTTCCTCCAAGGAGCTAAAGGGGACATACATGGGTTCCCAGCCTGGCTTTTAGCCTTGGAACAACCCTGTGAGGCAGGTTGAACTGTGAGGCAGTGACTCACCCAAGGTCATTCTGTGAGCTTCATGGCTGAGCAAGGACTTGAAGCTGATGTCCCAGTTCACAGTCCAACAGCCAGGAATTGCCAGTCTTTTGCAAACTGAGGAAACTGCTGTGGGCACCACACACACACCACAATTAAGCCCATACCACAGCACTTTCTTCTTTCAAACTTAATTTCAGCAGGGGAGAAAGGGACTTCGTTGGCTAATGGATGGGCATCTGATTGGGTAGCCCTGCTCTAACCACTAAGAGAGACTGCCTCTTTCCGTGTGGGTTGATAAACACACACACAATATATTTATTGAAAAGTTTGCGCACAGGGAAAACAAAACATTTCCAGCCGCACATTGTGAGAAATACTGACAGCAACTCAGCTTCAAAACAAAATGTAAACAAAGCGGCCCCAACCTGAAAACAACAGAGAAGCGAAACCCGATGTGCTGGGTAGAGGCTTCTTCTTGACGACTGAAAGAAAGGTGAGGGCAAGACACGTGTCCACGTGCTTCAAAGCCCTTTCTCTTTCTGAGTACTTTACGCGTTTCAGGGCTGGCATGGGGTGGGGGGAGGCATCCCGGGGCTGAGCTGTGTTCATCAGAGATGGGGTAGCCCCCAGCCTCGGAACAATTCAAGGGGGCGGGGGCTGGGTACCGTTAGGTAACCTGGAGAAAACTAGGTACCTCCACCCCACAGCTCCCCTCTGCCCCTGTCCAAAGCAAGTGAAATCAAGCTGGTGTCTGTCTTTGGGTGATTGGACCCCTTGTGTTTGACGGGCGGCCGGGACGAGAGAGCCTTTCACCCTTGGGGATGTGAATGTTGCACCCCAGAAGAGCAGATCGCGCTAACGTGTGCATGCACAGAGGGTGTGTGTATGAGAGAGAGAGAGAGCGAAAAAAGAGAGTGTGTCGGTTTCCCCACGCTGTGCTGAAACGGCTGCCGCTCGCTTTGCACGGCGCATCCACCCGCAGATACACACACACACACACACACACACACACACACACACACACAACGCTCAGGAGCGGCGGCGGCCACCAGCCGCCCCATCACATGCGAGCGAAGGGGAGATTACGGTGGGGCTGAAGGAGCAATTCCTTGGCTCCCTCCTCCTGCAATCCTCCAGCGCTCGCAGCACGGACGGACAGCGAGTGAACGAGCGAGGATGGCTTCCCCCTTGCTTTGCCTTCTCCTGCCTCCTCCTCCACCAGCACCAGCTCCTTTCCCTCCTCCTCCTTCTCCATCCCAGAGGAGATGGTGATTCGGAGTAAGGAATACAGAGCAAGGGGGGGAAATCATCAGCGAGGGGCAAGAGAGAGAGGGGGGAGAGAAACACACACACACCCCCCTCCCGAACCAAAACAAACCCATCTCTCCCTCTCCCTCTCTCGCCTCTGCCACCGCGGATTGTCAACAGATCATTTGCAAAGGAAACCTGAGAGCAACCCCCTCTGGAAAGGCAGCAGGGGATTCCGGAGCCTTTGTGCTTTCCCTCGCCAGTGTTTATGCTGAGCGTGGTCTGTCTCAGGAAGGTAAGCGGGAAAGGGGAGGAGGGGGGTTCTTTTCTGCCTCATTGTGGAGTCTGGAAAGAAAAGAAAGCGAAGAAAAGACTCGCTCGTGAATCATCCTCGCTCCCGGTAGTGGCAGAGGCGGTTGGAGACTGACATATGGCTCCAAGTGGACTCAGAGGGCAGGGGAGATGCTTTTAAAAAATATTTGTAAGCGAGGGGGTGGGGTAGGGGGGCTCTCTCTTGGTTAATGAGCAGAAAAAGTGGTGGTTGTGGGGGGTTTTGGAGGCGGGGAAGAGGGCGGCTGTTTCCATGTACAGAAACGGGGTTGTTTTTTATGAATAACCCACATGCCTCCTGAATGACTGCTTGTGGATGGACAGATTGAAGCGATTTTGTAACGTAATGTGCACACTTGGACAAACTGTGGAGTGCATGTTCATTATGCTTGAGCTGTCAAAAACAGGAGAGCAGCCCCTCGTAGAGGATCATACTGAAACACACATTGCACTCCCCCCCCCCCATGGCTTGACTGGAGTAACCTGATGATAGCCTGAAAAGCTTGAATTTTAAAAAGACAGATTGGCTGCTTCCTCTCTCCCCCCCCCCCCCCTTTAAACCAAGGTGGTTTTGAAAAAGTCATAAAGGTGTTAGGTATATTCAAACACATAGTTATACAGTTGTGTAGTGGAGGTTTTGTGAGTTGGGGCTTTTTTTAGAGAGAGAGAGAAGATGCACACTCACCTGTGCAGTGGGGCATCTTTTATATAAACAATATCAAAGCTGTCAAGCAGCTTGATATATTTAAACACTGGGTACAAGTAAGTCTGTGCATACAGCTTATGTACGTACTGTCCATATTTATAGTACCTCCTGGACTTCATTCAAATTAAGTTACATAATGATTAAGATAAAAATAAACAATGCATTTACAGTTTCTTGAATATTTTAACTTGCCACCCAAACTCCAGCTGCCACATCAGTGCTGAAATGAATGAATTTTGGCGGTTGCTTGTTTCCCCACCACCACTGAACATTGCCAAAAGGCAGTTGGGTCACTTTGCAAACAAACAGTCATCAAGCCCTTACCACTAAGAGAAACAGATTTCAGTCAATAATCCTATCCTGTAATGCTGAAAAGCCGCCAGGGTCGGTTTAAAAGGAGGAGAATAGCAGCAGAGCTGGGCAGGCGCCTTAAGGGTGAGACCTGCTGGATACTCAAGAGAGCTTTGCTGCTAAAACAGGCAGACTTTGCTCAAGTTTGTCAGGCTCCTCTGACTTCCAGCTCAGCATCACGCAAAGCAAGGGGAAAGGTCTGCCCTGAACTCCTGCTCAAAACATGGCCCAATCTCTTGACCCTAGTTTGTTGATTGCTGACTTCAGAGACAGCAAAATCAAACCACACAATTAGCTAATGATGATTGTAAGGTTGGTGTGATTCTAACTCCATGACTTTTTTAAAACTGACAAATACGGAAAAGATTTTTATCAGAACAGTGAGGTGTGCAACCTGAGCATAGCTGGGGGGTCACGGAGGGGCAGCTGCCCACCAATCAATAAAAATAAATCTAAATACATAGCAAACCAAGGTTCTGCACCCCTAACAAAAGGCCTGCCCCCCCAACAAAAATCCTGGCTACACCCATGGCATACAGCCTAAACATTATTATACCAAACGAATCCAATTTCTCCTTAAGCTGTTCTCTGCCTTCCTCATGCTGTCGCTTGTTTTCAGCAGCCTTATTCAATGCACTAAGGGCACCAGTCTTCCTCTATTTGATGGGGGTTGTTCTTGTGTACAGTACAACCTGAACTTTCTTCTGCCTTATTCTTCAAAAAGAAAGTTAAGTGTCTCACCATCAACATGAGGGGGGGATGATGATGCTGTACAAGAGGGATGTACCTCTAAGCATCTCTCCATTAGCTTAAGCATTTTAAACATCTTTTAGCTTGATGGTGCGTTCATGATGCCTGTGCATGCATTTATTTATGTTTGCACTGTTTTTAAAAGTTTAATTAACATCTTGCACTTGGAATTCAAAAGCAAGGAGGGAGAAACAGATTTAAAGGGATCTCTCCTTTGTTTCCAACTATGATTAAATAGCTTGTGCTTCCTGGTGTGTTACTTAATTTTCATACAGAGTTTCTTAGAGTGCGTCCATCCCTGGGGTAATAATATCTTACAAACTTTTTTAGCCAGGAACTATTCAACACTCTATGTTTTCTTCATTAGGAAAGAATACTTTTAAAATGTCTGTTGCGCTCGCCATTACATGAACCCATTGCCTCAGACAGAGGTTGTAGTTCTCTTTTGGATGTTAAGCTACAGATACCTTGAGAGATTTCTTAATAATGCATTCCTTATACCTAATAACATAGAAGATGCTTTGGATTAGGGACTCTACTATTTTAACTTTTTAAAACAACACTATGCTCAGCAGACATGGCAATGTCTCTAATGCGTGTGCATGCATTAAAGCGTTGCGGTTTATGTATTGGTTATTTCTTCCAAATATGATGCTTGTGTTTGTGGTGTTTTGGCTTAGAATCTACATCACATGGCATCAACCCACATCTTTCAGGTCTTGTCCTTGTCTTTGCCCTTGTCTTTAAAAGTCACAGAATTGAAAATAACCAGTTGATTCAGAAAGCCATATAGAGGCATTACTGGCTTGACTGAGTAGAACATCTGCAGCTTCAATGCTTTCAAAATTTGAGTAGGAAAGATCCACCATAATACTTCAAAATTTGACTGTTATCAATCTCTTGTTCTCCCATGTGGGTTTGGCATTATAGCAGAATAAATATTAATTCTTCATGGCCAATGACATTTATCCTTCTAGTATGTGCTTGGCATAGTGAGATAACACCATTAAAACTTGTTGCATTTGTAGTGCAAATTATAGAAAACATCTTAGCTTGTTGCAGTACTCTGAATGGAAACAGTGTTCACTTTTGTTCTCGTTGCTGGTATCTACATCTGCTTTATTGTATGTGCTGTCTATACAGGGCCTAAGAATACTGTAAAATAGTTTCTCATGAAAAAAATAATATTGGATCAGTGTTAAGGGTTCTTAAAAATAATATAGAGAAATATACATCACTATATGTATGTGAATAGATATATAAAGACCTAAAACCTAGAATGATCAGTAAGTGTTTGTAGAGCTTTTGTTTTTTTCCGTATTCTGCTGTAAAAAACAAATACCTATGTGTGTGCGCACATAATGATACACATTATATAAGAAAAGCAAATTTATTTAGCCACATGAATCCTTTTGTAGTCATAACAAAGAGGGTATAAGCATGCTTGCTGGAATCCCAAGATTTTCAGAAGTGTAAACATCTTTGGAAGTAGACACCTAAGAAAGGGACTGAAAACAGTCCACTGAGGGTTAAGCATGCTCCGTGGGTATTAAATGCTGACTAACTATAGGGGGGAAATAGATAACTAGGCTGTGTGTGTAATGGTGTATCCTGGAAAAAGACATAGATGGTTGGCCGGAAACGTAAATCCAAGCATTCCGCACTGAAACATTATCTTGCAGATTCCACTTATGGATACTCATAATAAACAAATCAGCTCATCTGCCCTTAATATATATTGGGCCAATTTAACATTGATTTACTATTACTAATAATAATGATTGCACAATAATATTTTTTCTGATATTTAGAAGACTGCAGGTGAAATGAAAAGTCCCTTGTGGGTATAGATATGATATGGTTTGCTGATGATAACTGGGCCGTTTTAAGCTTCTGGAACTTAATCACATTCCACATTTAAGAGCCAAGGGACTTAAAGGTCACTCTTAGACTAAACCTTCTTTCTCTGCTCTTGCTATTAAACCTGACAGGTACTTTCAAACTGCTGTAGCTGTGCTTGCCCATACACAGTTATGGAGTTGAGTAGTTAACTGGATGGCTCCAGAAAAGACGATGGATTCTGTGGGGTTCACGGTCTTCTAAACTGATGAAAAATGGTACAATGGGACAGTCCGCTTACACAGAGACCCCTCCTTTTTTTAGCACACATACTTTTTGTCAGGCTGCCTTAGACCCCTTATGACAAATCACTTCAAGCTTCCATTGGAAGAAAATAACATGTTTTATCACTTGTACACTTGTGTTTGAGTAGTGGGTTCAGGAAAATGTGCTCTGCTGCGTCATGAAGAGTGAAGCTTAGAGCAGGGATGGAGAACCTATGGCTGTCCTAGGTGTTCTTGGACTACAACTTTGCTAGCTAGGGCTGATAGGATTGGGGTCCAACAGCATCTAGGGGCCAAGTCCTCCATCCTTGTCCTTGGGTCTTTATAATAACTTTATTGGGAAAGGATTTGAAGTGCAGCTGGTGTAAGTATAAAGTGAAGCAATACTTTTCAGTGCAAAGAAGAAAATCCATTAATAGTAGCATTGCAACTGGAAAATAGTCATGAGGAAGAAGAAAATGACCCAGGCAATAGCCTCAATGTGATGTATCCATTGTGGACCACACACCTTCTGACTGTGCTGGTAGACTGACAAGCCAACCCTGTGTATACTTATTTAGAAGTAAGTGCCAGTATGTTTAGTGGAGCTTAGTTGTAAATAAGAGTGCAAAGATTCTTTGCATATAGAATATTAATACTCTGAGGAGAAAGCTTGCACAGAAGACTTGTCACTGATGTATTGGTTTTGAATGAGCAGGTTGCTTTAAAAACTACAGAACATTTAATTTTACCCCCTACTCCATGCCTTGCAGGCTGTGCATTAGTTGTGGCTGTGTTCTGTCTCTAAAGTTTTGACATAAATTATATACGTTTTTGACAAATCAATTTTTAAATGACATATTGGCCATATACAAGGGGCTCCTGCTCCTGCTAGCTCCACTCACCAACCAGCACAAAGTAATTGGGGAACTCTGGTAAAATCCTTCCCTCTGATTAGCACCAATACCAGTCAGTCACCAAAGAGTTCTCCCTACCCTTCCCTTCACTCTGCCACTTTCCTTATATAGGAAGCTTGGAGGGAAATGTTCCAATTTTTGTAACATTATCACCAGTGTTGTTTTTTTGAATTTCCAACTCCCCAAAGTACTTCAGAGGTCCTTGCTTTGGTTCAAGGTACTTCAGAAGGACCCTGATTCATTTTGGACAAGCCCAAAATCTGTTCAAAGTTGGCTGCTTCAGTTCTGGATTCATCCAAAGTCAGTGCACACTCCTAATATATAACATAAGTCACCATCTACCGTATATACATGGTGCTGTTAGAATGGGCAATAATGAAAGGCCTGTGCCCCAAGGAGCTTACAATACAGTAACTTTGCCCTTAGTAATATTTAACACATTTGGCTCCAAAAAGTCAGATCTTCTATAATGTTTTATGTCAGCTGAGGGAGAAATAAGTAATGCTGAAGAGGGGTGTACTAGAAGCGATTTTTGGGAAGGTAGCCCACAGTTGTCAGATGAAAAGGCAAGTATTAGTAATGAGCTGTGACAAGGAACCAGTTAGCCAAGCAGCAAAAGATCATTCTACAGCTTTACAAAGCATGACTCATTGTTATGACAGCATCTGAAACTAGATTACAGTACATCAAATAAACTAAAAGTAGAAAGATGCCATAGGAGCCTTTACCGACAGAATGAGAAAATAATTTAAAATCTATAAACTCAAGGAAACGTATTTTCAAATTACACACAAGGGCAATCATAAATGAGAGAGTGATTGGAGCAAGGATGCTGTTTTTGAGTCCTGTGACATTTATTTTCTCAAGTGATGTTGTCAAGGGTCAGGAATGAATGAGTGAAGATCAATATTATAGAATTATGTTCTCTGTATACTTAGGTGCTTTGGTTTGACAGATTTTCTGTTTGCCATAAAAGGTTGTCACAAATGAGTTTCATAGTGTAATGCAGAACACTAAAGGTGGCCTCAAGATTCAACTTGTATCTTTAATTTTGGGAAACAGACTGATCAGAGGTGCTCTGTGTCTTACTAATTTGACCCATTACTGGGGGCTCAATTATATCTGTTAAAAACCAAGTCCCCTCCCCTGTTCACTCATGTGTGTGCTTTTCACACAAGTGGTTAAAATTTGAAGGGAGAGCAAATCTCTAGAATCTCTATAACCCCTGCCAAATTGTGGGCAAATACATTCATTGACCTTGATGCGGGACAACACATTTTCTGCCAGAATTGGATGCAATTAGGAGGCTTGGTCACCTTTTCTTTGGGGATGAAAGCTACCAAATTTCAGAATGATAAATGAATTGATCTCCTACAAGGGCAGACTTTACTGCTTTGGGTGGGTGCAATAGGGATCATAGAGGTGGGAGTGCCAAAAAGAGCACGGGTCTATGGTTCTCCAGGAAATATTGGGGTATGGGAACTATCACCAGCACCAGAGTTTGGGGGGAAACAGTCTCTTCTTCTGGGGACTTACAATGACTTGCATTGGGGCTGAGGAGGTGGGGTGAAACCATAATAGATCCCAAAGAAAGACTGTTGTCAAAAAATGGCACCACCACCCCATAAGCACCCTGTTACCCCAAGCTTTGTTCATGGGAGGTGGACTTCTGCCAGCCAACATGGAATTTTGGAGATACAGCTTCTCCCTAGAAGGAAACCTCTCAATTTTCTTGCCCAGGGGAAGGCATAGATCTACATAAAAAACAAACTCAATTTTAATCCCAAACCCAAATTCCACACCCAAATCACTGTGACAGGAGTGCCCTGGGGAAATAATTCAATGTGATTAAAACTAGATCTGTCCATCAAAATAGTACATACACCACACATACCTCTCTCCCACATTCTCTTGTGTGCTATCCAGTGTGGTTTCATTTCTGTGTGGTAGAGTGGGGTGGGAGGGTTGGGAAGAGTTATCTGGTTTTTTGGACAGCTGAGGCCACAGAGTAACTCATGTTCTGACTCAATATGTCCTATTAATGGCACGGTCCAACATGGGAACCTTCCCTGAATCAACCTGTTTTACCTTGCAATTCAGGGTAGATGCAGAGCTGATGGATAAATTCTTTTTAAAAAATGAAAAGCCAGAACCTTTGTGACTTATGACTTTGCAATTATTGCAGGTGATGATAAAGCTGCTAATGATATTTGTATTTGATGGCTCACTGCAAAGAAGATAAGTGAGTTTTGCAATATCGCTTTTTCCATCTGTTCTCACAAGTGCAAATAAATTATCTATTCTTCTGAAAAGAAATATAAGATAAATGTGATTTAAAGCAATTTCCTTGTCATTATTGATTAAGGGCAATCCGTGTTAGTCTTCAGAGGAATGGAATTTATTTCTTCACATAATGAAACAGAAAAGGCTTGTCATAGTAAAAGAAACATAATTATTACCTAATTTGTGTGTTTGAAAACAACTTGGCACTCTTTTGTGTGGACAAGTAAAATAATTTTCCCAATGTTCTTTCAGTTAACTGATATTAGCCAAACATTTGTAATAGGTGTGTATTTCAAAGACAAAAAACAAGGAATATCTGTGAGTTTATTCCTCAAATTTTATACCTTCTGAAAAAGAAGAACTTCCAAATTAGTCATTTATACTACAAGAAGTACACATTTTATGGGGACACGTGTGTGAGAGTGCACGCACGCAACACAAGAATGGGTCTTTTTTTGCAGTGCCTCCCCATTAGTGGAATGCTGCCCCCAGGGAGGCATGCCTGGTGCCATCACTAAATATATTTAGATGCCAGTATATCTGAAGGAGCGTCTCCACCCCCATCGTTCTGCCCGGACACTGAGGTCCAGCTCCGAGGGCCTTCTGGCGGTTCCCTCACTGCGAGAGGCCAAGTTACAGGGAACCAGGCAGAGGGCCTTCTCGGTAGTGGCGCCCGCCCTGTGGAACGCCCTCCCATCAGATGTCAAAGCGATAAACAACTAACTGACATTCAGAAGACATCTGAAGGCAGCCCTGTTCAGGGAAGTTTTTAATATGTGACATTTTAGTGTATTTTTCATCTTTGTTGGAAGCTGCCCAGAGTGGCTGGGGAAACCCAGCCAGATGGGCGGGGTACAAATAAATTATTATTATTATTATTATTATTATTATTATTATTATTATTATATGCCGGGCAAAAACAGTGCAAGGGGCTTTGTCAGTGCTATGCTCAGCAAAGCACCAAGCATAGAATTTGCAGAGATGTTTTCTGCAGGGATTGACTGCATGATCAGGTTCCCTGTAGGGACCTTTGTGCAGCCAGTCCAGCAGGATTGAATTTGCTGCCCCCATCTGTCGGTGGTGAGTTCAACCCTGCTTTCTGCAGGGAATGGTAGTGCTATCAAGTTCCCCATGGGGAACTCAGTTGTGCAGCCAATGCATGTGCGCATACACACCCCCACCCCCACCCAGAACTTCCACAGAACCTTTGCAAACAAACAATTCACCAAAGGACTGTGTGGGAAGCTTTTGACTTTAGAAATACTGGTTGCAGTGGGTAGGGGGAAGTTGCAGAATTTTACCAGTGCTGCTGATTATTTTCCCAACTAAATATGGTACAGTAGAGCTTAAATATCAATCCAGTAATGCAGACCTTGTAGTGGAAGGAACACACCCACAGAACCTCGTTCCTCATTAGTATTGGATTAATGAACCATGAAATTGAGAACTTCCAACTTGCCATTCATGATGTGTTCTCAGCTGGGGCTACTATAACATTCTACAGCAACTGTAAAATTTATGTAGCATACATAAGCATGCTACCAAAGGTGGAACCTCCTGTGAAACCTTCTGCCTTCATTGCAGCATTGTAAATTGCTACAATATTTTACAGTATCCTAAGCCATGGCTTTATTTTTCTTTCAGCTTCAGAAATGGAGGACCCTATTTGAAGAGGACCCAACCTGACCCAACCTTACTTGTGCTTCTCCCCTAAAGACTCTGGCGTTGCTGCTGCTTCCTTGTCAGGATGGCTGAAAGGGCTCCTCCAGGGATAAACAAAAAATCTTCAAGGTCTACCCAGTCCCTTCCACCAGAACCAGTGGAAATAATCCGGAGCAAAGCATGTTCAAGGAGAGTCAAAATCAATGTAGGGGGGCTCAACCATGAAGTTCTATGGAGGACTTTAGATAGACTTCCACGAACACGCTTAGGGAAGCTTAGAGACTGCAATACAAACGAATGCTTACTAGAAGTATGTGATGACTATAATCTCAGTGAGAATGAATATTTCTTTGATAGACACCCGGGTGCTTTCACCTCCATTTTGAATTTCTACAGGACGGGGAAGCTACACATGATGGAGGAAATGTGTGCCCTCTCTTTTGGCCAAGAGCTAGACTACTGGGGGATTGATGAGATATACTTAGAATCTTGTTGCCAGGCAAGATACCATCAGAAGAAAGAGCAAATGAATGAAGAGCTAAGGAGAGAGGCAGAGACACTGAGAGAAAGAGAAGGGGAAGAGTTTGACAATGCCTGCTGCCCAGAGAAAAGGAAAAAACTATGGGACTTGCTGGAGAAACCCAACTCATCAGTTGCTGCAAAGGTAAGATAATGGATGGTGGTTAAAGAGTCACCAAAAATGTTTAGAATATTTGCTTAGGTTACATGTTATGTCTTGATAACATTCACAGAAAAATTTGTGGAAACAATTTTAGGTGGGTTTTGTTTTTTTTAAATAACAACCCTACAGCCTAATATAGGCTTAGCTTGTGAGTTTTCCTGTTTTTTCATCTGTGGGAGAAATCCAAAGGACTGTGTGGTGAGTCCCATGTGCTCTGGTGTACTTTTGAGACTCTCTGTTCCAACTGATTTTCTCCATAATTTATGCCATGCTACCTCCTAAAGTTGGAGGACCTCAGGAAGTTTTCTTCCATGCAGTATAAGCAATTGTGATCTATTAAAGAAAAATAGGGGGATCTTGCCTTGTGTGGATCTATGGGGAACAGGATCCTGGTAGTATTCATTGGTCAAACTAATGCTCAGTGCTTGTGTGTGTGTGTTTTAGAAATACTCCAATCTTATGCACACTTATGCACACTGCGAGTAAATCCCACTTAACATATTAGGGCTTACTTCCACATAAATGTACATAACTTTGCTTTGTTCTTTCTCATTTTTTTCCTTGGGTGCTGGGTGGAATGTAGGGTGCAGTTTATATAATTATGCATCACCAAGCTATTTCTGAGATATTAACAAAACAATCCTGTAGATCCCTATGCAGAAGTAAGTTCTACTGATGTCTGTGGGGCTTACTCCCGAATAAGTAGGTATAGGATTGCAGACTAATTGGCAAAGTGCTTTTGAAGAAATGGCAATTTTTGAAAATGAAGACTAACCATTTATTGTCAGAATGGAACTTTTGATTCCTACTACTCTTGACTATACATTCCATAGAAGAATCGGGAATTTCTTTCTTTTCTTTTTTTCGTATTTGTCTCTCAGCTGCTAAGTTTGTCTCAGCTGCTAATTTTAAATTTCATACGCCTACGCATGAACTAGCACCTATTTCCACCTAGGCTGCTTTTTGGAATGTCTTCTGCCAAACTGGCTTTAGTTAGTGGGTGCACTGCTTATATAATCTATGTGTGAAAGACATAAATAAATATATAATCTATGTGTGAAAGACATAAATATATTATGGTTGATTTGTGTGTGGAAATAAAGAAAAACTGGATATTTTCATTTATGGGGAAGGTTTGAACATTAAATCTGAGTGTTAGGATGGGGGACAATTTTTATCACTGTCTCCCATGGCTGCCAAAAATCCCAGGAGAGCAAGGGAGGGAGTGTAGTGGCAATGGTGAAATGAGCAAGAACTGCCTGTCCCACCTCACTCCTCCCAGCAGGAGCTTCCACTGGATCAAATGCCCTTTGATGAACAGAAGGGTAATTCAGGATCCAAGCCAATTCCTGAATCCACTCAAAGATTATTCATGTATTTGATGAAATTTTATTACAAAAAATGTTAGGGAATATGCCTAACAAAAGCTGCACAGTGCTGAAATTGCCATACATTCTGATAGGAGTTCAAAATATTAAAGTAGACCTACAGGCTTTAATGGAGTCACCCTGCACTATATGAGTTCAGGCTTTTGTGTTTCAAATGGATAACCCGCCGTTCTGGCCCAAAAATACTTCCAAATCCTATTTCATGACTTAATTTAATTCATACATACATAAGAAAGCACTCCTCACATTAGAATATATTATGGCTCTTCTTTAAAGCTCTTATGAATTGGACCCTCAAGCTCACATTCTGCCCCTTTGGTCCAGTATCTCCATGCATCTGATTCCTAGTCTATTATCTGGAAGCAACAGGTGCCCGGGTTGTTTTTGTAGTGCATGATCTGCCTGTGTTTGCTCTGTCTGTTCAAACAGAATTGCAACTGCCGCCTGCGCTGAGGCAGAATCCCAGCAGCAGTGTGTCACTAACTAGCTGTGTGCTCAAGATCCCAGAGACCCGTCTGGAGGAGATGGGGCATGTCATTGAGCTGCCACATTGCATCCTTAGAGAGCATGGGATAGATCAGAAGCTTTCTGTGGCTCACTGATCCTCAACCTACTGGTGTCAGGTTTGCAGAATACAGCTGGCCTGCCTTCTGTCTCGGGAATTACTTTGGATTAAATAATCATTGTACGGAAAAGTACATGCTTTTATTTTTATACAACTTCATTGATGAAATCCAGTAGTGTCCATCTGCCAGTGCAATGGACCCTGTTGGTGGAATAGATTGTCTCTTCCCTTGGAGGACCTCATGGAGCAAATTTGCTGGATTCAGGGAGGTGGAAGGGGGAGAGAAGGAGAAGTCCCATTCTACTCATGTATCATTGGACGTCACCCAGTATCACCATGCTTACTCTCATTTTGGGAAATTGTATGCAACAAAATTTTACTCAGAGTAAACCCATTGGAATTAATTGACCTGGGTTAGTTCATTAACTTCAATAGGTCTCCTCTGAGTAGGACTAGCATTGGGTTCAATCCATGAACTGCAATCTACAGAGCAAAGTGGTTTTGACATTTGCAATATGTCTGCACCAAAATCACACAATTGTAGAATTGACAGGGGCCCCATGCTCATGTAGTGTAGCCCCCTGCTATGTACAAATCACAGCTAAAGAATTCCTGACAGATGGCCATCCAACCTCTGTTTACAAACCTTTGATGGAGAGTCCACCACCTTCTGAGGGAGTCCGTTCCATTGTCATAACAGCTCTTAAAGTAAAGAACTCTGGGAATTGTAGTGAAGGATGCTAAGAGTATGCTGTTGAAATTTGATCCATCCACACAGAACCACAGTTCTCAGGATTCCCTGTGAAGATGGAATGTCCCTGAAACCTGTTTAAGTCTAGAATGTAAACACAATCTTACAACTGTTTGAAAAAGTAGAAAGATGTTGGCTGGGAAGGTGTATCGGACTCCTCCTTACTGTCTAACTGGCTTACAGTGAAGGAAAACTGCACTGTGTTGTGCATACAATTTATGAGAGCTTGCACATATTCCCACATGTGCTGCTCAGTGTACTCTGAAAAGTGAGATTAGGACTGATCTCTGGGACGTCACCAAAATTTTTGATCTGCTCCAATAATTCATCACTCAAAAAGATGGAGAAGTGGTGTGGTGGCTTGCAAATCTAAAACAAATCTTTGCTACTGGAATGTTTATTTGATATTTATACACAAATTTATAAACACCCCACTTCAAGCAGCTTACAAAATAAAAATGAATCATAAACATAACAGTAATCCATCGTTAAAACACAGCTACCAGGCTAAAGAGCAAGATCACAAACAGCCAAATTGAACGCTCAATAAACTAAATGAAACAACAACAAAAAATGGAAGCATGTTAAAGAGAAATATACTTCAGTAGCAGAGTATTGCCTTTGCTTGCAGAAGTTCTCAGGTTCAGCCTCTGGCGTCTCCAGGTAGGGTTTTGAGAGAGTTCTGGAAAACTGCTGTCAGACGGTGTACACAATACTAAGTAAGATGGACCAATAGTTTAATGCGGTATAGAGCAGTTTCCCATGCTACTCAGTAAAATATAACATCCTCATGGGGTGAAGAGTTCCACATATGGGGTTGGCACCTGCACATAGAAGGTCCTCTTGTATGTTGCCACCAACCATGCCTCAGAAGGCACATGCAAGAGAGATAATTCTGAAACATTATCTTCTAAAGCACCATTAGGTTAGTCACATAGCTTTTCTAAAGCTCTTAATATCTTCAAGAATCACACTTCCCCCCCCCCCATATTTGGGCTTTGGCTGTGGTGAGGAGCAGAAGGAGCTGCCAATTTCAATTATTTCAGTTTCTCACTTATCCACTCTTAAATTTGGTTGATCACATTTTACAGCAATTTGTGATTTTAAAAAAATCATGAAAATTCATAACTTCAATTCTGCAGAATTAGCAGGTCTAACAAGTAGAATAAGAGCAAGAAGAACAGGTATTTAAAGAGGAGTGGAAATTTTTTGTTGAGTACATTAAAAATAATTGTGCACAGTTAAAAATGCTAGCAGTATTAAAGTAATTCAACAGTATAACATATTTTGAAATGATGTAAGATAGGGAAATTAAATTAGATGGATATATTAAAATATGCAGGAAAGGTGGAAAAGTTAAATGAACCTTGGAAAGGGGAGGGAGGGAAGTCAATGAATGCAAGGTATAATAAAAGATGTTTAGTTTAAAATGTAATATTTGAAAATTTAATAAATTTAATAAAAATTATTATTATTAAAAAAGAAAATGAACTAAAACAAAAAGAAAATTCATCAGTGCAAATTCATTCTAGTGCAAATATCTCCTAATAAACACATTTTTCTATGCAGCTTTGACCATGTTTGCCAGCACTTTCCCCCAATATAATGCATTTTGTATGTTCTGGAGCAAAGCTGCACTCTTAATTGAGGTTTTAGGATTGAGTTTTCATTTCACCATGATGGAATGTGATGCCTCTCAGCATAGGCATGGGAGTCCTTAACACCAGATTCTATAAACTCCTTTTTCAAAAAAAATATGCATTTACAGGATGATTTAGAGATCTGCACATCATAGTACAAATGGCAGCATTTGACTGAATTGAAAATTCCTGACAGTTAGATTGCTCGCAGAATATTTCCCCACAAATGACTCAGTTGCAAATCTCCTCCCCCACCCCACTGGCCCAGTTGAGTGCATGTATTGTGCTTAAATCGGAGTGAAAAATGGTGTACAACTTTTGGACCTGTATATTTTGAAATTACTGTTAAGTTTCCACCCCTTGATTACAATGCATATGTGTGGATCAATGAGAGTAGCTGTGTGATGAGAGATTAAAGTATATACTTCTCCCTTTAAAGTACTTTTAAACTGGAAGAGTTTGAAGGTATTGCTTCAATATGTCCTTCTCATTTGGAACATCTGTTTTATAAAACTCCACTTACTGGCTGCAAATTAAGGATTTCTCCCCCGGGAATAGCATCCTAATTTATTAGCTGCTAATCAATTAAAGAAAGTGTAATTACCCTTCACCCTTATTAAGACGCAGAAAGACTTCATGGTGTGTGTTGTTCATTTGCATAACCTGGTATTCACTGTATTTTTATAGACATTGGTATGTGTAAAGGTTAAGGCCTCCAAAAGATTTGATTGAAGTCAACAACAAAGCAGTCGGGGCAGATTTAGGGCTGTGGGAGCAGTGTGCACACAATGGGCACTGAGCCAAGGGGCACCATCTCAGAGCCCTGTAGATTAGCTGCTGGGCTTTGGGAAGGAGGCATGAAGCTTTGGCAGGGTCCTAAAGCCCTCCCTTCTTCTTCCCAAAGCCTAGTTAGTGCTTTCCCAGCTTTGGGAAGGAGATGCAAGGGCTCTAGGACCCTGCCTAGGCAGCTCCTTACCTTTGAGAAGGCAGTGTGAGGGCTGGAGCTGGGATGTGTGTGCCAAATTTCGGCCTCACACAGGGTGCCATAGGCCCCAAGTCCCCAACTGATGCAGTACACGAGACAGCAGAGGGCCCATAGATCTAAGAATGGAATCATTGCCACTTGGGTGTGCAATATGCAGAGTATGCAAGGAAAGCAGACGCAGCTTATAAGGATTCTCTGTGTGCATGTTCTGCTTCTTCCAGGTCAGGGTAGCATTGAATGGTGCCATGTCCAAGGGCCTTCAAAGTCCTGGTGCCAGCACAGTAGCGTACAGGGCTACCTTGGCAGCTCCCTTGAATTTAAAACCAACTGCTAAATTTATCCTCGGTCATTAAAATGTAATAATAAAAGTATCCTTTACTATCAGAAAGCAAAAAATTTATGTGAGTTCACTGCTTTGCTCCACCGAAAGTATATTAAGAAATGCAATAGAATGTCAGTTCCTAATTGATTTTGTTTTTAAAAGCTTGTGCATGTGGACGAGTGAGTCAATTATTAAAATATTATTTACCTTCAGTGCTTTCTGAGGAAGGTATCGAGTAGCTAATGATTCAGCATTATATTTAGCTGGCACAATTATAGCTACAAAGAAGAAGAAGAAGAAGAAGAAGAAGAAGAAGAAGAAGAAGAAGAAGAAGAAGAAGAAGAAGAAGGGAGAAACCCAGTATTTGGACTATCCTACCTCAGTGGCATTTCAGTGCCTTGGTGAATTATACATAAGGCTTCTTTCTGGCTCACATCTAGAGTGATAGGCTACCTCCTTTACAATGGTATTGCTGAATATTCTGGAGACTGAATAAAACAAGGAAAGGACCCACTGAAAGGAACCTGTTAGTTGTTGACAGTTTTTCATAACTCAGATACTTTGTGAAGGTAACACCAGGGACAGGGAGCCAAACTCAGACAATCTATCAATGGTTTCTAACAGCTGTAGAAGTGAGGATCGCCAGTCATCAAAAGCACAAAGGAAAGGGATATTTCCTGTCATGCGCTAGGAAGAGAAGACTGTTGGTTTGATCATGTTTTATGAATAGAGCTACAGGAAAGCTGTATTTTTGCTGTACTGGAAAATATGGGCATGATTGTACATACTCCTAGGACAGGCCTGAACAGCCTGGATTGCTGTCTAAAACACAGCTGACCAGCCATGTCTACTGTGGTCTGCCAAGTGCTTGTCAGTCCAGCTCTTTCCCCTGTTTTTGCTAACCCAGCCCTGCAGTGGAAACTCAATGTCTATTAAGCTCCTGAATAATATGATATGTGGCTGTTGCAACAAGATGCTACCACAATCTATTATCTTAAAAGGAGAATAGACTGATTCATGGGGAATAAGTCTGTCAATGCCAGTTGGTCATGATGGCTCTGTTGAACCTCCATGTTCAGAAGCAGTATGGTCTTGAATACCAGCTGCTGGGGCAACAGAAGGCTATTGCCCTCATATGTTCCCTGGGGTTTTTCCAGAGGCTGAGCACTGTGAGGAAATAGTATGCTAGACTAGACAGGCCATGGGTTTGATGCAACAGGGCTCTTCATCCTGACTTCTGTTATCCTTTGGTGGCTTTGGTTACACGGGTCTCTCATCTTTACAACCAGTTCTTTTCCATCATAAGCCAGGATGGGATCCCAAATTGTGCTTGCTGAAGGCTAGCTGATATGGAGTATCCTTGAAAGAACTTCCTGGACTGCAGCAATTTTTTTTTTATTATATTCAAGCATTCTGGAAAATTGTGTGGACACATAATTTGTACAGTGGTACCTTGGGTTAAGAACTTAATTCGTTCAGGAGGTATCAGTTTCAGGTTAAGAAACTGTTCTTAACCTGAGCTACCACTGTATTTTCAAACTGTTAGTTAACTAAACTACCTATGCTTTTCTGGGCATTGCTGCAATTAGATTATTTTAGCCTCTTAACTCAATGATCTAACCAGGAAGACCTTATTGAGATAGTAATGTGTATGACTCCACTTACTTCAAAATGAGGGAAGCACTGTTTGGGGGTCCTTCTACAGTGGTACCTCGGGTTACATACGCTTCAGGTTACAGACTCCTCTAACCCAGAAATAGTACCTCAGGTTAAGAACTTTGCTTCAGGATGAGAACAGAAATCGCACGGTGGTGCAGTGGCAGCGGCAGGTCCCATTAGCTAAAGTGGTACCTCAGGTTAAGAACAGTTTCAGGTTAAGAACGGACCTCCAGAACGAATTAAGCTCTTAACCCGAGGTACCACTGTACTCATTTTACTGACTAGGATCACTAGTTTCCTGCCCTGATAGCACTACTTTTGCCAGAGTGTAAGAGACTGAAATGGGAGGTGACCTAGGAAGATCACTGTGTACACCATGGATGGGCTTTTCATTTTCAATATGTTGCCTAAATAAACAAGCATGCCTTTTTCTTCTGCCTTTTATGGGGCAAGTTGTAATATGTCATTGCACATCATTCCAAGCAGCTAGTTATTCTCATGAGATTATTGTGAAACAGCTAAGAAATAAGATGCTCAAGGTGCTGAATAAAAATGAAGGTGGCATGTATATTGACCATGCTGCACTTGTCACAAACATAGATCCAGACATTGTCCCTATGATTGTAATCTACTTCCTAGGAACATAGTAAATCCATATGATGTCCCTGTGTGCTGGGTTTGGCATGCTGATCTCTGGCTTATCTGCATGATGATGTAATAGCACACTTAGGCAGACAAATCCCTAAAGGCTATGTGGCTGGATAGGTTTCTGTCTCTCTCTCTGTGTGTTGTTTATACCAGCTAGTGCATGACATTTATGAAATGAAGCTCCTATTCCATATG